ATATTACTGTTGAGCCTTATGGAGACGTAGTGGGCTCAAGAACAAAAGGGTCCAAGAAGCAGGGTGCTCACCTGATGTATCAACCGTCTCCTCTTTTCACAGCACCAATCCCATCATCAAGTCTACTAACCTACCATAGGATCATCACGCGCACACACACACACACACACACACACACACACACACACACACACACACACACACACACACACACACACACACACACACACACACACACACACACACACACACACACACAAGGTGACATCAAAAAATGTTCTGCACAAGATATACAATGCATGCAATGTCTCACTGCAGACACTTACATCGTCATACATGAAGTTGACTATTCCCTGCTGCATGCTGTCTCTTCTCCGAAAGACATCTGGCAAGATAGAAGTTGATTAGCAAAAAAGGTGCTCCTGTCATGCTTTATAACAGTGATAAGTCCAGATATTGTACAGAATGAGGACGTTATTGCTCACAAAAACACAAAGAAGTACAAAATCCAGGTATGACTAGTTATATTGATCCAGCTTGGACCAATGCAACTATGCATATACCATACCTATGGGATGCAACTAGAAGCCGGAAACCACAGTAGTAGTTGCTGTCACGCCAGTGATCACCATTAGCTTCCAGGAGCAAAGCATTTTCTGAATAAGCCCCCAGCAACCAACCTCCTGTGTTTACAATGCAACAGAGCTGACACTCGGCCCAGAAGAAAGTGGAGATCACGGAAGGGGTGGTGTCTATTATAATAATTTCCAGCTTCTAGAGTTAACCCATATAGTTACAAAAGGTTCAGGCTGTAACTATATAAAAATCTTCAATCTTCTGGAATTCCTCTTTAAATGCCAGATAGCCTCAAACGTTTGTGCAAGTATTTCCGACCATTAGATTACTTACTGAATACACAGGGTTACGTCATCAGAATTTCAAACAAATATCAAAACTTCTACAGTGAAGGAAATAAGTATTTGATCCCCTGCTGATTTTGAATATTTGCCCAAAGAAATGATCAGTCTAAAAATTGAATGGTAGGTGTATGGTGACAGACAGAAAAGCCACAAAAAAAAAAAAAAAAAATTCAAAAGAAATGCATGTCTAACAAATTATGCACAGATTTGCATGTTCATGAAGGAAATAAGTATTTGATCCCTTATCATTCAGCAGGATTTCTGGCTACCAGGTGTCTTTCATACAGGTAACAAGCTGAGATTAGAAGCAGTCTCTTAAAGGCATTGCTGCTAATGTCATTTTGTTACCTGTATAAAAGACAACTGTCCACAGGAGCAATCAAACAATCAGATTCCAAACTTCCGCCATGGCAAAGACCAAAGAGCTGTCCAAGGATGTCAGGGACAAGATTGTAGACCTACACAAGGCTGGACTGGGCTACCAAACTATCGCCAAGCAGCTTGGTGAGAAGGTGACAACAGTTGGTGCAATCATTTGCAAATGGAAGAAACACAAAACAACTGTCAGTCTCCCTAGGTCTGGTGCACCATGCGAGATCTCACCTCGTGGAGTGTCAATGATCATGAGAACAGTGAGGAATCATCCCAGAACTACACGTCAAGATCTTGTCAATGATCTCCAGGCAGCTGGGAACAAAGTCACCAAGGAAACAATTGGTAACACTACGCCGGCAAGGATTGAAATCCTGCAGTGCCCGCAAGGTCCCTCTGCTCAAAAAAGCATATGTCCAGGCCCGTCTGAAGTTTGCCAGTGAACATCTGAATGATGCAGAGGACGACTGGTTGAAAGTGTTGTGGTCAGATGAGACCAAAAATCGAGCTCTTTGGCATCAACTAAACTCGCCATGTTTGAAGGAGCAGGAATGCTGCCTATGACCCAAAGAACACCATCCAACTGTAAAACATAGTGGTGGAAACATTCTGCTTTTGGGGTGTTTTTCTGCTAAGGGGACAGGACAACTGCACCGCATCAAAAGGGACGATGGACGGGGCAATGTACCGTTGAATCTTGGGTGAGAACCTTCTTCCCTCAGCTAGAGCATTACAAATGGGTCGTGGATGGGTGTTCCAGCATGACAATGACCCAAAACACACGGCCAAGGCAACAAAGGAGTGGCTCAAGAAGACGCACATTAAGGTCCTGGAGTAGCCAGTCTCCAGACCTTAATCCGATTGACAACTCTGAAAATCTGTGGAGGGAGCTAAACGTTTCAAACTCTAGCCACCAAACCTTAATGAATTGGAGAGGATCTGCCAAGAGGAGTGGGCCAAAATCCCTCCTGAGAGGTGTGCAAACCTGGTGGCCAACTACAGGAAACGTCTGACCTCTGATTGCCAACGAGGGATTTGCCACCAAGTACTAACTCATGTTTTGTGAAGGTGATCAAATACTTTTCCTTCATGAACATAAAAATCAGTGCATCATTTGTTAGACATGCATTTTTGAATTTTTTGTTGCTATTCTGTCTCTCAGTGATAAAGTAAAAAGCATTTTTGCATGGGCTTTTAATGCGCATTAACGCATGTTCCCGCATCTGACAATAATATGTTCTATTGGCCAGAATTCTAGCCATTATGATGTGTTGATGCGCCTAGCTGCAATGTGCATGAGGCCTAAATGAGTTGGAATTTACGTTTTCTCCTAGTACCCCAGCAAAATCTCAAATGCCTGTTGATCCTGCCAGTGAAGTTCACCTAATGCAGCTTCCTGTGATAGGGTGGCAACACTGCTGCATTTCTCCTGAATTCAGAGCAGCATTACCACCCTCATGTAGGCTGTGCTTGCTTCACAACAGTGGCATGTGGTTGAAGAGACAATGCTAAAGGCCCCACCCACTGCTATATCACAAACCTGTAGCTGGTCAATCAGCACCTGCCACACATGTCTTTCCACTGCTTTCTGGATTACCAGCAATGCCTCAGCTACTGAAACCCTCACAATTTGAGCCGCTTGCCTGGAAGGGGAAGAATGAGGCACACAAATGGAGAATTTGGCTCACTCAAGTTTGTTTTTACTTTAGGGAGACCAGTGCATCACATAGTAACTTGATTTGGGACCTGTTTAGACCACCATACATGATGTAGTTTAATAACTGTTGGGATAACATACCAGCCAAACAAGGAAGACACTGATGCAAGATACCAGCTAGTACTTGGTACCATCAGATACTTTGTGGTTTCTGCTCCTAGACAGGACCTTCACAAAATGTAAAATAACTTGACATGTTCAGTCCATAGCTCTATTTTAGCAGATTCGGCTACAGTCAGGTCCATAAATATTGGGACATCGACACAATTCTAACATTTTTGGCTCTATACACCACCACAATGGATTTGAAATGAAACGAACAAGATGTGCTTTAATTGCAGACTGTCAGCTTTAATTTGAGGGTATTTACATCCAAATCAGGTGAACGGTGTAGGAAATTACAACAGTTTGCATATGTGCCTCCCACTTATTAAGGGACCAAAAGTAATGGGACAATTGGCTTCTCAGCTGTTCCATGGCCAGGTGTGTTATTCCCTCATTATCCCAATTACAATGGGCAGATAAAAGGTCCAGAGTTAATTTCAAGTGTGCTATTTGCATTTGGAATCTGTTGCTGTCAACTCTCAAGATGAGATCCAAAGAGCTGTCACTATCAGTGAAGCAAGCCATCATTAGGCTGAAAAAACAAAAAAAAACCCAATCAGAGAGATAGCAAAAACATTAGGCGTGGCCAAAACAACTGTTTGGAACATTCTTAAAAAGAACGAATGCACCGGTGAGCTCAGCAACACCAAAAGACCCGAAAGACCACGGAAAACAACTGTGGTGGATGACTGAAGAATTCTTTCCCTGGTGAAGAAAAACACCCTTCACAACAGTTGGCCAGATCAAGAACACTCTCCAGGAGGTAGGTGTATGTGTGTCAAAGTCAACAATCAAGAGAAGACTTCACCAGAGTGAATACAGAGGGTTCACCACAAGATGTAAACCATTGGTGAGCCTCAAAAACAGAAAGGCCAGATTAGAGTTTGCCAAACGACATCTAAAAAAGCCTTCACAGTTCTGGAACAACATCCTATGGACAGATGAGACCAAGATCAACTTGTACCAGAGTGATGGGAAGAGAAGAGTATGGAGAAGGAAAGGAACTGCTCATGATCCTAAGCATACCACCTCATCAGTGAAGCATGGTGGTGGTAGTGTCATGGCGTGGGCATGTATGGTTGCCAATGGAACTGGTTCTCTTGAATTTATTGATGATGTGACTGCTGACAAAAGCAGCAGGATGAATTCTGAAGTGTTTCAGGCAATATTATCTGCTCATATTCAGCCAAATGCTTCAGAACTCATTGGACGGCGATTCACAGTGCAGATGGACAATGACCCAAAGCATACTGCAAAAGCAACCAAAGAGTTTAAGGGAAAGAAGTGGAATGTTATGCAATGGCCAAGTCAATCACCTGACCTGAATCCGATTGAGCATGCATTTCACTTGCTGAAGACAAAACTGAAGGGAAAATGCCCCAAGAACAAGCAGGAACTGAAAACAGTTGCAGTAGAGGCCTGGCAGAGCATCACCAGGGATGAAACCCAGTGTCTGGTGATGTCTATGCGTTCCAGACTTCAGGCTGTAATTGACTGCAAAGGATTTGCAACCAAGTATTAAAAAGTGAAAGTTTGCTTTATGATTATTATTCTGTCCCATTATTTTTGGTCCCTTAACAAGTGGGAGGCACATATGCAAACTCTTGCAATTCCTACACCGTTCACCTGATTTTTATGTAAATACCCTCAAATTAAAGCTGACAGTCTGCAGTTAAAGCGCATCTTGTTCATTTCATTTCAAATCCATTGTGGTGGTGTATAGAGCCAAAAATGTTAGAATTGTGTCGATGTCCCAATATTTATGGACCTGACTGTATGTGGGATGTCTTGCATACACTTTGTTTGCCCTCCTCCTGAACATGCTGACTGCTTCCAGTTGTAATACCAGATTACCGCTATGAAAGCAAGGTTGCAGGGAGCGCAAATCAGATCTTTTGATTTGCATACATGTTCCAGAATAGGTCCTTTTTAAAGCTGCAAAACCCACAGAAACTAGGTTGAAAGCAGGGAGTCATCACCTTACCTGTTAAGGCACGAAGCTTCACACAGCATGCAACATAATCGTCAAAGTATATTCTGCCGCTCTTGCTGTAGCGCTTCACTATGGTATTAAGTGTGTTTGGATTTAATCTGTAACCTTAAAAAAACAAAAAAAAAAAAATAAGAATCCATATGCATGAGCACAAGTTCCATAAAAAGGCAAAGTACTTTTATGATAGCAATTAGAGGGCAGAGACACCATACAGTGAAACTAAACAGGTTCAGCTAATGAACCAGGAATCTGAATATTTTATTCTTCTCATACAGGCATTTTAAAAAATACTTGGGGATGGGGGGGGAATTTGAGGAAATAAAGAGGCCTTATGGTTCACAGCAACTTTGTCCTTGTACAACCCAAGAGAAGACTACTTACAGGACAAGGCTGATAATATAGAGACTCTCCTCACAGAGGTGCTGGCAACCTTACAGGTAAGTTGAATATCAATAGTTTGAAAACACATGGTTTCTGCATAGCCAAAAAGAAGATAATACAGGATGAAAGAAAAAGGGGGGAAAAAAGCCTTAAAGAAATTAATCCTTGGTGAAGATGCCTTGGTGGGAAAAAAAAAAAAAAAAAAAAAAAAAAAAAAAAAAAAAAAAGGGTGAGGTAGACAGGCCAAATGGAAGAGTGAAAAATTGGTAATGCTAAATCATACACTGTGTATCCTTTCCCATCTTCACCTTACCAAGGCTAGCAAACATACCAGATGTCTAAGACCAGAAGAAGATCCTCCCCCTGCAAGGAAGCAGTGACCAACCCAGCAGTTTTGATGTAGAACTTTGGAATTATTTTAGATGTAGAATAGGCCAAACACCTCTAAGGATTCCAAACAGTTTGTTTGGTTTGGGAACCGTAAAAAGGTTAGCATAGAAACTAGGCATCTAAAGTTTTCTGGACATGAAAGCCAATAGATGTCCCCCATTCTGAGAAGTAGGGGTTCCCCAAGCCTGTGAAGAGGTCTTGGAACCAGTTTAAGCTGGCTTGGAGGGCCAAACCTTCTTACAAAAGAAATGTTTGTCTTAAGATTTGGCATTGAAGGACAGAAGAATAAAAAGAACCCTTTCGAACCTCAAGAACAGAAGCCTTACCAGTAGAGGCACAATCATGTTTATTCTGGGGGAAGAGGGTGAATACTCTTGCCTCTTGTGATCCTCTTGATGTACTTGTCCAAGGAGGGGACAAAAACTTTGGCCTTCAAAAAAGGTAACCGCTCAAAGCATTACTTGCATGGAAGCTCAGCTAACCAGCATTTAAGTCATAGAATCCCAAATATGTAGAGACAACTCATCCTGGAGATCTGGAAAAGCATAGCTCCCAAACCATTCACACAGTTGTGTAAGGTTGTAGGTAAAAAGATCTAACTTTGGATAGAAGCATCAGTAATGGCACTAAGATTTTGAATCGTGCTTCATTCAGACAGCAAGGGATTTATTTACTAAAGCTGGAGAGTCCAAAATCAGACTCCCTTCTGCATAGAAACCAATCAGCTTCTAACCTCAGCTTGTTCAATGAAGCTTTGGCAATGAAACCTGGAAGCTGATTGGTTTCTATGCAGAAGGGAGTGTCAGACTCTTGGGGGTTTATTTACTAAAGCTGGAGAGTCCAAAATCAGACTGCCATAGAAGCAACTGAAGGGTTGCACCGTAGATCCTGCCAAAGAAACTGCTTTAAAAGCTCCAAGCTTTTACCTACCAGGTCTCTGAGCACAGGTTTATCCTTCAATAGGGGTCACAAGGGTCTTGTTAAGAGCAGAGAAATTATTCTAAAAAGAGAAGGAAGAAGCTTGCGTGGCCAATGGGGGCCAGCTAAATAGCTGAGAAAAACAAGGGAGTGGGAAAAGTCAAAGGAAAGGGAACTACCAACTCCAATGAAACTGAAAGCCAAGCCTGAGCTAGCAAATACATCTGCCCTCTTCCCTTCCCCTAATACCAGCTATGCTTGTAATACTGTCCACAGAGCGGTACTTACAACCTCTTGCAGAATTAGCAGGGTACAATGAATGCCTAGGTGCTAAGCACATGTAGGCTGCAGTAGCCCAGGTACTGCAAAAACAGCTGTAGTGATTTGCCCTCAGCAGAGGAAGAACCAGGAGACGTTTCTGATCCAAAGCCCCACCTGCAAAAATGAAGAGGCAGAACACAGAGCTGCAGTAACCCCACTGAGAATGAAGCAGAGCAGGCGCAGTATAACCTGGTTCACACAGGTGCAATTACGGTAATATGCACAAAGTTTTAAGTTAACCCCAGAACTTCCAGCTTGCTACTGTGACCAATAGACGAACGGGGTTCCAACAAAAGGGAACCCTGGGCTGAATATTTAAAGAGGTTCTGATCTGTACTACCCACAATCTAATGGATAGGATTAAAAAAGGATTAACCACCATCCAGGTTTTACTCTCCACGACTGGCCTACTACCCCCCAAAAGGGTCTTCGGAAACTGGGCTCTGCTCAACGTTTATACAGGCCAATGGGAGTACCAAACAAATGGAGTACAAAGCTTTTAATAAAATTAGTCCATAGCAGAACCTGACATATAAAGCAATCTGCAGCGAATTCCAAACTATGTGCAAGGATAGCACCCACAGCAGGATCCTGTGCATATCAGCAACATTACAGGCCGGTCCTGCTTCTTCAATCTATGGGAGACTGGGTACAATCCTCCAAAGATCAACAGAGAAGTCAACTGATCTGTAGCTTGCATGAGGAGTCGCATTGGCTATGGTGCAGCTGGCTGATAGAAGAATCATCATCCAGAGAAAGAGAAACCTTTGTATAGGAGGGTAAGCTTCTCTAAATAAAAAAAATTAAAAACGGTTGTTAGCTGGAAGTGGGGAGACTATACAGGGGGATGTCTGTGCAGCTTCCTTTTTTGTCAGTGTCCAATCACCTGAAGGGAGTTGCATATAACCCATTCGTAATGTTTTACCACCTCCCGTCCGGCCGTTGTATATAAACGGCCAGACTGGGGCCTCCCCGCCCCCTGGGAGCGCGCAGAACCGCAATTCGGTGCCCGCTGTGTTCACCGGACAGTGGAACACCGATCGTCGGACGAGACCTCTGTACGAGATCCAGATCATGTGATCACGGATTGGCCAATCAGTGATCACATGCAGAGTAGTAAGCAAGATGTCACTTGTGACATCATTGCTTACTACATGTGAAATCTGTGAATGATCACAGAGGTCACATGGTACAAGGCTATTCACAACAGCCTTGTACCATGTGACAAGCTGTGACCAATCATATCACACAGTAGTTCTCAATGGCTGCAAGAATGCCAGTGACAGTATGTAAAAAAAGAAAAGAAAAAAAAACAAATAAAAAAAAAATTTTTTTAAAAAAGGTTTAAAAATAATACATTTTTGGTTATAAACTAAATTTGGATTTTTTTTTTTACTAAAGATAAAAAAAAACAGAACAAATTTTGGCCAAGATTTGTGATGAAATATTTGCAAAATGTTATGTTATAACTTTTTGGACTTTATTTGCATAGCAAAAAAAATAAACATCCCAGTGGTGAATAAATGCCACCAAAATAAAGCTTTATCGGTCTAAAAAAAAAAAAAAAAAAAAAAAAAAAAAAAAAAAAAAAAAAGCTAAAAAATTCATATGGGTACAGTGTTGCATGACTGCGCAATTGTCATTCAAAGTGTGATATCACTGAAAGCTGAAAATTGGCCTGGATAGGAAGGGGGTAAAAGTGGTTAAAGAGCCTATGTCCTGTACTGTACGAGTAGGAAGATCCTTCATGGCAATTAGATGTGCCAGCTGAGTTGGCGGTACATGACAGTATCACAAAGTCCTCTTGATACAAAAAGAACATGCGGCACATCAAGAGTATCAGCTGCTAAAAACAGCATCCCTATCAGACACATTCCGCATGCAAGCTTCCTCCTTTAAGAGGTAGATATCCAGTAAAGTTACAATTCTATACACTACGAGCAATTTGTGCTGATGGTTGTGCATGATGCCGGAGAAAGTCTCAGTCATTACTTCACCTCATTGCTCTTGCCCAAGTTATGTTGGGTCAGCACAGCAGATGCGATTCCCAGCAATTCCATGCAAGTACACTGCATGGTGCAAGCTGCAATAGATTTTACAAATATTCTGCATGCTGCATTTTGGTACCATAGACCTGCCAAAAGGTTTCAGAAGTCTCAAGGTAAGGCAATGCATTTTAAAGTGTATGAGCCAAGATGGGCGTTTTCAATCATATCTGGCAAAAATGAATACACAGTGGTGATGCAGTGAGGCCTTTATGTCCAACACCTGATTTTCAAGGGATCGGTGTTACTTTCGGAGCCCTGAGATCCCCTTCTCTTTGGGATTCAAATCAAGGTCCTAAAATTTTAGCTTTTTTATAAACAGAAAAGTTCATTTGTAACTACTTACCCATTGACATAATGGCCTGGTTCAACTCATGGGGCTCCACTGACCCACTCCTGTCATGATCAAACGTGCAGAAGTTCTGTTTCCAGGCACTTAAAGCCGCCCACAGTTCTTTGAATTCATTGAAGCCCATTTTGCCTGTATGATCCCTCTGATTTGGAGTGGTTAAAGAAATTTAGAGAACTTTCCATGATCTTATCAGTAAACATGGACAGACATATAGGTTTAACTTATCTTGGTGCAAGATATTACATTTATTATTACAGGTACTTATATAGTTCTGTCAAATTTAGGCAGCCCTTTACATATAGATTGTACATTCACATCAGTCCCTAACCTGTACAAATTTAAGGTTCCAAACTCACATCCATATATATTCCACAGAATTCATAGACTGGCGCAGACAGATTTTGCGAGTGTCTCACGCGCGTTCTAATAGTGGCAGAACGTGCGTCAAATTCAGGTACCCAAAAAAAAAAAGATCCCTGTGCTCAAATCCCAACAGCTAGTGCATGCATTTATCCATCAGGTGCTAAAGGGGTGTAACCACATATTAACACTAGAAATTCTGAAGGACCCTCTGCACACTGCTATATACCCTTTTAAACTAGTAATGGCTGCAATCAGCAACTTATAGGGGAACTGCAACAGGCATTCTGACACTGGGGGGGGGGGGGTGTGGGGGGGGGACACAGACTACCTGCCACTGACACTAATACAGCAATCAATACTAATAAAAAGCACTGACAATGTATTAACGACACTGGGCAGGAAGGGGTTAACATCTGGGTGATCAAAGAGTTAACTGTGCTGTTTCACTATGTGTGCTTTACTGTGTAAGCACGCTGCTTTGTATTGCTCTGCTATGTGAGCATGTGTGTTGCTTACCTGGGGAAGAGATGGCACCAAGATGCAGTATGGGAAGAAGGCAAGCCAGAAGAGGCAGTGCGATGCTTTTGGCAATGTTCTGCTGGGAAACCTTGGGAACTGCCATTCATGTGGTATGTTACTTTGACACATACTACCGTTGTGGCTGATCAAGTACACCCTTTCATGGAAACTGTATTCCCTGATGGCACTGACCTCTTTCAACAGGAAAATGCACCCTGCAAAAATGGTTTAAGAATGGTTTGATGAACTCCACAAGTTTGAGATGTTGACTTCAAATTTCTCCAGATCGCAGTCCAATGGAGCATCTGCAGGATGTGCTGGAAAAACAAGTCCAATCCATGGAAGCCCCACCATGCAACATACAGGACTTAAAGGATCTGCTACTGCTGGCTTAGTGTCAGATACCACAGCATACCTTCAGAGGTCTAGTGGTGTCCAGGCCTCGCTGTAAAAAGGAATTTGTGCCCAAGGAGAAAAACATGATTACGTTATCATTCTGTCATACTGTACAAGACATCTTTTCGTGGAAAGACTTTTTTTTTTTTTTTTCTCTCTCTTTTTCTTTATAAGGATACATCCAACATTGCAATCATAATACGGCATGTTTCCAGGCTGAAAGCTGTTGGAAGAAATAAAATGAAGATAAATACTGAATATAAAATCTATGTGGTTCAGTGTTTTATTTTTCACTACAAACAACATAAGTGTTAAAATACAGAACCCCCAAGAAGATGATGCTGAACTTTTGTATTTTTGCTCATGATCCTATAGCCCAGTCAGAAGACTACAGGATCTTCAGCCACCTGTACAATTCATTACCACATATAAAAAGACAACCCTTTAATGCTCATGGAACGCATTCATTATACCCTATTGGATAGGATGCACTTATTTGATAAAAAGTGGGAGTCATGGAGGGACTGTAGACATCTACTGCATGATTAATAACATTCCCAGTGAAAGTCATATGGCATATACTGTTGACAGATGTATCATTTAATCTACCTCATCATTTACACTTTTCATGTTTCTGCAATCTTAATTTTTCTCTCTTACATTAATATACTTCTCTGTATTGTACTATTCAAAAGTGCCTTGTTATTGTTGAACATTTTATTTGACAATATGCTGTTTTACAGTCAACTTTTATGCAATAAAATAGTTTGTAAACACAAAAAAAAAAAAAAAAAACAAAACACAGACAAAAAAAAACTCCTGGCATTCTGTTAAACCAAGAAGACTTTCTCAAATAAGTCATCTGTGTAAGCTGAGCCCTTCCCTCCAATCAGCTGTCAGAGCTCTCCTCACTGAGCTCTGCAGTGTGTAATTTCAGCTTTCCACCCAGTTTTCTAAACTGACAAGCTTTATACATTCTGGACTTTATAAGTTGTAGCTGTGTCTGCATTCTTCTCTTTTCAACAGCCATTCAAAGAAGTATTTGTTGCATCTCTGTATCATGGGAGGCCAGTCATTTCACAGGTTATATGTAAGGGTTTACATTCACTTGACCCTCTGCCCTATAGCAGATTTACTGCTACAGGGCGGACATTCTGTGCAAAACCACGTGCAGTTGCAAGAAAAAGTATGTGAACCCCTTGGGATTACATGGAGTTTTGCATGAATTGGGCATAAAATGTGCTCTGAACGTCATCTAAAGTCACAACAATAGAAGAACACAGTCTGCTGAACATAATACTACACAAACAGATGTTGCCATGGTTTAATTGCACATAACATGTAAACATTCACAGTGCAGGGAGGAAAAAGTATGTGAACCTTTGGACTTAATAACTGGTTGACCCTCCTTTGGCAGCAATAACCTCAACCAAAAGTTTCCTGTAGTTGCAGATCAGACCTGCACAACGATCTGGAGTAATTTTGGACCACTCCTCCTCACAAAACGGTTTCAGTGTAGCAATATTCTTGGGATGTCTGGTGTGAATCGCTCTCTTAAGGTCATGCCACAGCATTTCAATTGGGTTGAGGTCAGGACTCTGACTGGGCCACTCCAGAAGGCGTATTCTGTGCTGTTGCAGCCATTGTTTTGTTGAATTACTTGTATGCTTTGGGTCATTGTCCTGTTGCATCACCCATCCTCTGCGGAGCTTCAGTTGGCGGACAGATGGTCGTACGTTTTCCTGCAAAATGTCTTGATAAACTCTGGAATTCATTTTCCCATCAATGACAACAATCCGTTCAGGCTCTGAGGCAGCAAAGCAGCCCCAAACCATGATGCTCCCTCCGCCATGTTTTACAGTGGGGATGAGGTTTTGATGTTGGTGTGCTGTGCCTTCTTTTCTCCACACATAGTGTTGTGTGTTCTTCCCAAACAACTCAATCTTGGTTTCATCTGTCCACAGTATATTTTGCCAGTAGTGCTGTGGAACATCCAGGTGCTCTTTTGCAAACTTCAAACGTGCTGCAATATTCTTTTTGGACAGCAATGGCTTCCTCCGTGGTGTCCTCCCATGTACTCCATTCTTGTTTAATGTTTTCCTTATTGTAGATGTGTCAACAAAAATGTTAGCATGTGCCAGAGATTTCTGTAGGTCTTTAGCTGACACTCTGGGATTCTTCTTTACCTCATGCAGCATTCTGTGCTGTGCTCTTGCAGTCATTTTTACAAGACGAACACGCCTAGGGAGAGTAGCAACAGTGCTAAACTTTCTCCATTTGTAGACAGTCTGTCTTACCGTGGACGCATGAACATCAAGGCTTTTGGAGATACTTTTGTAACCCTTTCCAGCTTCATGCAAGTCAACAATTCTTGATCGTAGGTCTTCTGAGAGCACTTTTCTGCGAGGCATGGTTCACATCAGACTGTGCTTCTTGAAACCAGTAAACCCAAAACAGGTGTGTGTTTTTAAGAGCAGGACAGCAACACATCCAATATCATCACACTGACAAGGTTGACTCCTGGCTCCATTAGCTCTGGGAGAAGTCATTAAGCTAGGGCCTCACATACTTTTTCCTCCCTGCACTGTGAATGTTTACATGTTATGTGCAATTAAACCATGGCAACATCTAATGTTTGTGTAGTATTATGTTCAGCAGACTGTTCTTCTATTGTTGTGACTTAGAGGAAGTTCAGAGCACATTTTATGCCCAATTCATGCAAAACTCCACGTAATCCCAAGTGGTTCACATACTTTTTCTTGCAACTGTAAATAAACGTCATTTTGCATTTCCGCCATGGGGGGGGGGGGGGGGTGGGGGGCGGGGTGCTTACCTGCCTCTGGAGCACCAGTTCTGCTGTGACTGGACACAGCAGAAGTCAATCAACAGATGCTGGCCAAGAGAGGAGTGCTGACAGAGAGGACACTGACATAATTACAGCTCTGATTATGTAAACATAGCAGAGCTGTTTTAGGTCAATGACGATCTGCTGGGTTTTATTCAGGGAATAAAATCTAGCAGATTGCCTAGTAAAAACAGTACACCAATAAAAAAAAAAAAAAAAAAAAAAAAAGAAAGGCTAGGCACACAATTGACCCCTTCCCAGCCAGTGTCATTAATACAGCAAGTGTATATTTTTTAGCAATGATCACTATTCGTTGCACTGGTCCCTACAAAGTGCCAGTTAGTGTCAGACTGTGTGCGGCAATATTGCAGTCCCACTATAGTTTGCTTACTAGTATAAAAAAAACAAACAAAAAACAAACAGTATATACCCCCATTTGTAGATGCTATAGCTTTTACGCAAAGCAATAAATATACACTTATTGGGATTTTTTGGGAAAATATGTAGCAGAATACATTTTGGCTTAAATTTATGAAGAAATCAGACTTTTTTTTTTTTTTTTTTTTTTTTTTTTTTAAATCAGATAAGTTTTTGTAGCAGGAAGTAAAAAATATATTTTTTAATAAATAAATGTTGGCATTTTTGCATTAACAAAAAACAAAAAAAAAAAAAAAAACAGCTCTGTGCTCAAAAAAAAAAACAAAATTTCATTAGGTACAGCACTGCTTGACTTTGCAATTGTCAGTTAAAGAAACGCAGAGACGTACTGCAAAAACTCGCCCAGTCAGGAAAGGGGGGGGGGGGGTAAATCTTCTGGAGGGCAAGTGGTTAAAGCCCCTCAGGTTTTATTTACACTGTACTTTTTTTTTTTTTTTTTTAGGAATTATTAGAGAAATTTCACTTTATTTTCTGAAAACAAAAAAAGGAAAGGAAGTCATTTCAAAGTAAAGAGCAATTCCCCTTGTAGAGCGTTGTGAATGGGAAAGCTTTCCTCTCTATCCATATTCTGGTGACAAGGAAATAAAAAGAAAAAATCATTCATATACAGCAGAATACAATCTCTCACTATAGTGGTCTTTTCATGGCTTCTGGTTACAAACCCCACAGCTAGAGAGATCACTGGTTGACCAGACCAAAGCATGTATAAAGCATCTCCTGTATGGAGAAACCAATCGCTGATGATACATCTATTCCCTGATCTCATCTCCAGCTCTCTAAAATAGAAAACACTCACACCTTTTACCCTATAGAGATAAACCTTGTCCAGGAATGACCCAGGCACTCTCCAACTATTAATATTTAACCAGGCGCACTGCTCTAGATTTGCCAATGACAATTCATAAATGACTGTTAGGACTATATTAACACCAATATCTAAAAATCAATACACATTTGTGTGCAATTACTTTTGAACAATAGCTGTCCTAAAGAGTTCATGAGAGAAGTCTTTGAAATAAAAGCCATTAAGGCTTTAGCAATGTACTGGCAGCAAAGCCAGAAAAATCTCCAGAGAAACATTTTTTCCATTACACAAAGCAGGAAAGTATAACTTTAAAAAAAATATATATATATATGATTTATTATATATTATACACACACACATATATATATATATATATATATATATATATATATATATATATATATATATACATATATACATACATACATATATACACATATACACATATACACACACATATATACACACACACACACAAAAAAGGGAGGGGCAAACCTTTTAATATATATAAAACACACACACACACACACACACTAAATCTCTCTGAACCAAACCTATTTCAAGGAATGCTAAACCTGCAATTTTTTTTCCCCCTTTTAGGGCCAGTTCAAACCAGCATATTCCTGTGTGATTTCACTGCATGCACTACAAGAAACACACTGCAACCAGATCATATGGTATTTATGTACCATGTGATCCGATGCAGACAAAAACGCACTGCTTTTGCGACGTCATTAGCATTGCATCTACACACTGCAGATCACAAGGGCAGTGCATTCTGAACGTGCTGTGGGAAACATACATGGAATGCAGGTTTCATACATCGTGTGCTTCTGCGAACAGACCCATACTGAGTGCACAGCTTCTTTATCCTTTAATCCTTGCATATGTTCCAGTTTGAGCCGTTAAGGGTGGCTCCTTTCTCTTGCCGCTTCCTATGGGGCCAACCATGCACTGTGTAAATCAATAGAAAAAACACAGCCCCATAGCTCAGGATGGCAAAGAACTCACCGCTTCTCCCTCCTCCTCCAAGCCAACAGATCAAATCCAGACAGCACTGTCACGGATAACGCTTTCCTGTGAAAACCGGAAATTCCAGGAAGAAGTACTGAAAGTAGGAGTGATATATATCTAT